ATAGCATGTCGGATTTCGGAAGGAAGGACCGGTGGAACGACATATTCGTCCTCTTTCAATTTATATGACGGTAAGAGGACATGGCTAGCGAAGAGATCCGAGTAGTATTGGTGGATGATTTTCTTCATAGCCCTTCTCGAAGCTGTAAGTGTCCCGTCAAGGTATCGGAGTGCAATCATCTTGATCTTATAATTGGCGAAGCCTCGCTGGGCTTTGCGAATGCTCTTCCCTGCTTCTGCAGCTTCTGCCATAACTGCGGCTCTTCTTTCTTTGAGGTCTTCTTTTATCGCTTCTCTGCAGCGTTTCGCAAGTTCAGACGTAAGGTTTCGGTTCTTGCAGCTCGTGCGATTCCACGTTGACGTATCGGCTCGAGTGTCTGTGGAGACAAGCTTCTCTTCGTGACCTTAGGACTCTCGGCTTTTTTAGCGCCAACGTGAAGATATTCAACGAGTCGATCGTATTCTTCGTCGATGTTGTCGACAACGGTATCTTCCCAAGAGCCGACTAATGATTTGAATACATCCCAGTTTATGGTAGTTCTGGGACTTCGTTGTTTGAATTTAGCTGCTTTCTCTTCTCTCCTCGAAAATCGGAACGTTGCGCGAAGGAGGCGATGGTCTGATCCCGTGTAGAACTTAGGAACAAAAGCGACGTCGGTCAGGCAAAACCTTCGATTTACTATGATGTGATCTATTTCGTTATGGTACTCTCCATTGGAAGACTCTCAAGTCCATCGCTGAGAAAGAGGCTTTTGGAATTGCGAGTTACCATGGATGGTTTGGGTCGTCATGACGAACTCAGATAGCCTCTCACCCTGTTCATTCCATTCTAGTCCGTGGGTCCCTATGTGACGTTCTTCAGACATTCTTCTAGGTCCAATTTTTGTGTTAAAATTTCCGACAATGACCTTGAAGGATGTATGATCTTCTCTGAAGAATTTTTCGAGGTCCATATAGAACGCTTCGACTTCGTCTTCGTCATAGCTTGATGTTGGTTCGAAAGCAACGAAGATGGTCAAAGCCGGCATAGAACCACATCGTTTCAACCGTAATCGTCCGATACGGGTGTTAGTCGTTCGAACGAATCAATGTTCACGGTCAAATTCGATCTGACGAAGACGCCAGCATCGCCGACACCTCTGCGATCGCATGTACCAAGGAACAGTTCTTCTCCGGTGTCATAGACAGCGTGAAAAGGATGGCGCCTTCTCGTCTCAGCCAGGCCAATGACGTCGTACCTTATTCTTCTTGCTTGAATCAACAGATCTTCTACAGCGGATTCGTGAGCAAGGGTTCTTGCATTGTAGGTACAGATCGTCATTTTAGTCCGTTTCGATCTTGGCAGCCTAGTTTCGGCCCTGAGATTTTAGCAGCCTCTCCGTACTCGTCCTACCTGGCGCTGCCGTACCAGGGGCTCTTTCGGGGTCAGGGGAATGAGGCCCATAATTGTTGTTGTTTTTGGCATTTCGATACCCAACGTTTAGCTTGTCAGGCTCTAAACGTGGGGGCTGGGTACTCACGAGTAGCTTGCCAGTCTCTCTCGGAGGAGCGGAGGTGTTGGAGGCGACTCCTAACCGCCTCCCATGTACTTCCCACCCGCTTGATTGCAGGCTTTTGGCCGACTTGACTCGTAGAAATAGAGTTTTTGTCAAGTCGCGCTGCAGAAGCAGGGAGCTTGTCCTCTGAATCCACCTGCGTCTCTGGGAAGCACACGGTCGCTTTTGGTTCGCATTTATTCCCCTATCCACCACCTGGGGTCGCGCCACGTGCCCTCGCGACTAACCGGGCGGGATCCCTTTAACGAGGGAGGTCCGTGGATAGGGTAAGCTATTTACAGATCCTAGGTGTGCGAACAAAACATTGCGAGTGTTAAATATAATTTTGCTATCGCTGCTGCAGCGCACTAAGGCCTTTTCGGCTTTTTTGCAGTCTTGAAAGGCCGATATCCACGTTTTTCCAGAGACTATTAAAATTCTGGTGAAATAGTTCTGCCCGGCGAAAAAAAAAACGTTGACAATTCGTTCGCCGACAGCGGCTTTCACCCTGCGTAATAGGTCAGAATCAATGACTGACATTTCGATAACTTCGGCTTCCTCAGAGCCTAGACGTACTTATCATAATATATCTAGTTATTAGGTATGAACTTCAATAGTTAATTCTTTTTTCAAAAGACATGCTGTCTTATTCATCGGCCCACTTATAGACGCTATACTATGCTGCTGCAATTGCCCTGACCAACCCACACTTATTGAAAAGCGCAAACTCACTCTAATAATAACCTTGCGTCTACGGATCCTTCAGCATTCAAAGTATAACCGATTAATAGTTATATAGGGGCCCATGAATAGGAATATCGCGGTTTCTGAGCCTCATTTCATCGCAGATGCTTAAGTTTGAACTAGCTCATCTTTCTGACGCCAAAATTTTTCCAGAGCACCTACACCGTGCTCAACCCAAACGTTAATAGGAATATTCGATATTCTCACGCTTTATACAAAGGTTTTGAATGGCTTAATACAAGCCACTGATAGAAATGGAGGGAAAAGAAATATACATGGCTTGTCAATTCAACAGCTCATGACTCTTACAGGTAGAATCTCAGCTGTTCAATCTTTAAGTGGTCAGCAAAAATTTTACCTAGGTTATAGTGTCGCCAATGGGGTAAAGATCTGCACCAAGCGGGGGCAATACCATCATGTCAAACTTGGAATCTTTAGTTCTCAGCCCTCGTCCATTATTCTTGTGTCGATTCATAGATAATTGCGTGTTATCTGCTCTGTATAAAAGGAAAAAGACAAATTTTTGTAGTGATGAGCAGTAAGAATTTTTTGATACACGAAAAAAGCCTAGAGAGAACTGGATATCATTTTTACATTTGAATACATTTCTCCGAAATTGGTGCATAAAAATGGTAACGAAAGCCAAGCAGTAAAAACATACTAGTGCACTCACTCCCACCTTATTTCTCACACACGAAGAAAGCACTGGTCGTGAACATGTACCGAACAAGTGTTACTACGGTAATAGAAAAAGAAGGGAATCACTACATTTAGCACGACAAACAGCCATCTCAAAGTGATCTACGAAAGAACAACCACTGACATCAGATCTAATGGTAGAGATGGGCCCCATAACGAAAATAATAGTACGCAAAATCCAAAAGGGATGATACCTTCAAAATTACATGTAGCAAATTAACAAGCGATTTAAGTGCAACTATTGGAAGGTGTCCAAAAAGCAGTGGTCTGGAAAGCTCTGTAAGATATATGGGTGTCTTATCTAACCCATTCAATTGCTAATTGTCTTGTAACCTTATTTTCTTTTTAGGCCAGACAAGGGGTGTTATAATAATCTGAATTCAAGCAGCTGACCTTTCGACAGTTCACTTCTTCAGAGCGTGAGAAGGACAAATTGTCTACAATTCAATCAGTCAAACACCTCCATTACCCACTTAGAAAAAATGACCAGACCCAGATTTCAGTTGCATCGATCACAACATCAACTTTCAACATACTCACCATTTTTTGTATGTCTTCCACTGAATAATCTGAGTGGAAATTACGGACAGAGACCACATGGATGTGTAATGCACCTCACTCATTGAAACAACACTCTTATATACTGATTCATTTCACTAAATTTATTTGGATCATTTGAATCATATCATTTGGTTCATATCATGATTTATATCATTGCGACTGCAAGCTGGTGCTGAGTGAGTTTTTATAAAGGAGTAATGGAGGTGTTTGACTGATTGAATTGTGAACACTTGATCCTTCAAGGCTCCGAAGAAGGCAGACTGCGGAAATGTTGGATGTCTGAATGAAGATAATCATGACACCTAGTGCCTGGTTTAAGAAGAAAATAAGGAGTTAATGAAGCATGGCGAGGTTAATAGATGGTCGGTCTTTGGAATCGTCTTGGAACAGCTTGTATAATCGGTCATATAGAACGTGAGGACTGGATGATAAATCGCAATGGAAGATGGAAACTGATGAGTTCAGGTACATTGTAAATAATCTGTTGTAAGACATTTGATGATGGATTCATAAGTAAAACGAGTAGACCACTTTGTGCTCGCACTGAAAAAAAAACACCTGGATGGGAAGTCGAAGAGTTGGACAAGTGTTACTCTAGCTCCACATGAAACAGAAAGGCACATCGCTTTAAGCGAGGTCTCCGATCAGTCGATTGATAGGTATTTCTAAAAACTTGATGAACAATCGACTGTTTGGAGACCTCACTTAAACAGATGTGCCTTTCTGTTCCATGTGGAGCTAGAGCAAGCTTCCTTGAGTGAATTAGAGCGGTGTGTGGTCTGCAGTCAATTTAACGTAAGGCATTAAGAAGGCGAAACGGCCGAAACGCTAGCCAGTACTGTGCTATCTTCTAATGATAAATCTTACTGTCAATAACCTTGTGTATGCTTATCAAGGAAACTCTAAATCATACTGAGCTTTACTGCTTCATGCGGTGTTGCTTTCATGCGGTAAGTTTGTTATTTTCGCGGTTTCCGCGTGTCGGTCCCGTGGTGTAGCGGTTAGCACTCAGGACTCTGAATCCTGCGACGGGAGTTCAAATCTTCCCGGGACCTCTGCTTTTTCTTTAATGCCATCTAGGACTAAGCTGACTGATAGATGATAAATATGCGTTCAGTTCGGTGAAAGAATCAGTGACGAGCGCCAGAATATGCAAAACTGACATCCAAACTCAAGTTGTTTTACATCAAAAAGTGTTTTTTTGGATCGTCAATGTACATCAAGAAAATGCATGATTTATCATAATGGTAGAGAGAGTAATTACATGAGTTCAAATACCATATACCTGACTTCCTACAACCCTGCAGAAGCGAATACATTGGTGAAATGGGTAGACCTCTCGGTATCCGTATAAAAACATTCTATAGATAATACTAATAATTTCTGTTGTTTTGACTGCATTTTCCGCAGTGATACGATGTTTCCAATAAACCTAAGATTAATGAGTGGTGAGCAAAAACAAAACCTTAGACGGGAGTTGGACCTGCGTTTCATCCATATCGGGGACGCGTGCTACCACTACACCACCGAGGTACATTTGCGTCACCATTCATTCTTCAACATCTCTAGGTTAGCAACCAGCCCACCAACCTCTAACAGGTTTTGTCGGGTACGCAATTTTGCTTTATGAATCCAGGTAAGCTAAGGAATCTATAGGGAAAAGTTAAGACAAACAAAAAACCTCTGCTGTCGACCGCTCTTTTACAGACCCGCTCAAAACGATTCAATATGACAAGGATATGACATGGTTTGAGCCCATAGGCCTATTGGCTCAAAACATGTCATATCTTACACATTCAAAATATTCCACAATGTCACAACTTTCTTTCTTAAAATCTTGCGTGAGGTTGGTACATCTTTTTCTGAACTGCTAGCTGACGTTTCTGTGATTTTGCCCTCTTCACAGGTGTTAACACGTTCGCGACGGCAGTTGAAATCGCTTCGCTCAGAGCAAAATCGCAAATCGAAGCGCAATTTTCGCTATTTAATCAGGGTTCTCTCACTGTTTCGTAGAAAACTCTAGGTTTCTGACATTACTCTATCACTCCACAATTTCCTCTATAGAGTCATATGCTTTTGGTCCATGTATATGAGATATGTGAGAAGTAAAAGCTTCCGTACATAATGCATTTGTATTAATGTGGGCATCCAGATGATAGTACTGGGATGTCGCATAATTTCCTCCGGATTTCAGCATTTGTATAATTCATTTCCCATTTATTCAATTCCTCGGTTCCATATGATCTGTATATGTATCGATGGCCGCAACGTAGCGCGCCGCGCGTCAAGATACTCTATGGCACACGCAGTAATGGAAATGTGAGAAGTTATCTGGTGAATTCAGTCTAAAGAAGACACTATCACTAGACAGTGATGTAATCTCACAGATTTGAGTACTATATAGATCTTTCTAGGTCTTTTCTAAGAGAGAGAGGGAAGGGGAGGGGGGGAGGAAGGGGACCAAACCTAACTCCAGAATCGACTATTTGTGTCAAATAACTACTAGAAGTCTAAGTTCTTTTTTATTCCAAACGTTTTTAGCGGTGGTATGATGTTATAGATATATCCAGTGATGCAGAGTGATTTGCAGAACTTTTGCATCAGCTGGAACTCGGATCCACAAGGCTCGACTATGCGGGGACGCACAGTCGAGCCTTTCGCTACCGACGTATGTTTATTTGTTGACAGATAGATGCGTTATAACGTAGAAAGAGTGTTGTCAAAACAGGGTGGGTATTGCAAACGGTTTGAGCACGCGCCCCCGGATAGAGTGAAAAGTGGGTTCGAATCCTAACTGACACAAGAGTTTTCCACATCAATCTACATCACTTGATATACCAAAAGTCTGTTCAGGGACCATCCACTGATCTTAGCCGCCTTTCTTGAAAACGTTGCAAAAACCCCTCCACCAGCCAATTCACACACTATAGCCGAGCAGGAATATGGCGCTGAATGTTTAACTCAGCTCTATTTTTACGGCTTTTGTACACTGGAAACGCCTTCTCGGCAAACAAAGCCAGTAATGAAAGTGTCGAGATTTGAGGCATCGAATGATTATTAAAAGTCTGTAGAAAAGATTAGACATGGCCTCCTCCACAAAGTTTTGGAAAATGCATCGCATTAATAGTAATGTACCAGAAGTTGTTTAGAGGCCAAACAGCTGTCGGCTGGTACTGTCCGTAGCAAGCGCATATTGACTGATACTTTTGCCCTGCTGTAAGTCGTTTCTCAACTTCCCACTTGTTCCCCAGTTACTCTTTGTCATCTTTAGATAGGTCATTCGTAGAGAGGATCCCTATAACATTTCCAGTCTTCGCAGTCCTGAATACTTCTAATTAGGATGGATGTTCTTTTTGTTTTTACGTTGGAATTTCGTACCATTCTATTTTCAGGACGCATTCTTCAATCCTATGGGATTAAGGTCTTGTAGGCTATTTCCTCAGACTTTTGGCAATCATTTGACAACCCAGTTTTTTTTAAGAAAGCCTTCTTAGAGAGCTGTAGTAGCGGAAGTAACATTGGGTACCGCACTCGGCTCGTATTATCGCGCGTTTTTTGGTTACTTATTTCAAACTTTTTTTTTAATTTCACAAGGAGGTTCTCGGTTTTCCGTATGAACATTGTATAAGAAGCTCTGTTCTGTCGTTCTATGAGTTTAAGCTGCCATTTTCATATCATATCTCCCTCATAGTACATTACATCTACAATACATTATAAAGCGCATGTGGCGCAGTGGTTAGAGGTGCTCTGCGTCGCACACGAGGTCAATGGTTCGATCTCGCCGCTCATGGCTCACCAAGCCATCCATCCCTCCGGGGTCGGAATTGGTACCAGACAAGTCTCAGACTTGTCGGGGAGGATAAGCAGCACTGACTCGCTTTAGCGGTAGGCCACCGCGAATCATTGTAATGGCCAGATATGCATTCAATTACCTCAAATGAAGCTAGAAATTGAAGTCGAATGCATGGCGCATCCCTCAGGGATTGATCAACGCCGAGAGCTTTATCCTTTATCCTTTTATCTTCCGAATAACTTGTTACTAAGCCTAACCAGCCTGAGCCTAAGATTGCGAAACGTGATATCTTTTGACTCTTCCAACGCTCTATAATGACTTTTCGGAGGGTGAGGCTGAATCGGTGGCGCTTATAACAGGT